GCTACCTCGAAGGAGGAAGAAGGTCCTTAGTTTTTTAAGTAGACTTAAAAATAAGCTGAAAGTAATATTATAGCAACAATAACATTATTGTTCTTAGTAGTATTTATCCTAGCTGGAAAATTGGAAACGTTTTGAAGCAAAATGTAGTTCGGCACATTGTTATTTCAAGGAAGTGAATTATCTTAAGAATCAGTTGATTTCAGAAAGTTTTAGAAATTTTACTTAACTGTTTAAGGGGAATAGAATATTACTAAGGGCTATTATTATTATAATTATTACAACTGATTTGACAACTTATTTTGTAGGATTTCTGTTGTGTTTGCCAAACTGTATAGAAGGGTCAAGTTCTTTCAATAAATTAAGTGTGTTGAAAATGCAGAGATTTTGGCATTGTACGTTATTGTTTGTTTCCCTTGATATGATCTTTCATTAAAGCTGTCACCAGCTAAAAAAGGCAGTAAGCCATCGGCAGGTGACGTGTGTCACCCCATAGTATACTGGGCTAGTTGTTTCAAAGTAGCCCATAGAAGCATATTTTTTTATTTTCTTTTCAATGAAAAACATTCTCTTTAAAATGTTAAGTCGCTGAAAAACAGATTTGTCTTTCCCGAAAAAAGAGATAAAAGTTTGACTTCTTTAATTTATTGTGTTCCGCACAATTCATAATCTTAGGATTCCTGTGTTACTTGGTTATCCTGTGGGTGACCAATTATATGAGCAAGTTCTTTTAGTCGTACGTCTGAATTTCCAGCACCAGTTTGAATTTCACCGTAGGTGCACGTGCATCACCCTTGTTCCATGAATAATAATAATAATTTAATAATTTATATAGTGCTTTTACATTAATCATCATAGGGATTTACCACAGCAGTAATTACAATCGTACGTAACAATAATTAGTATACTAATTTGCACTTTCATCAAGCTTTTAGCCTTTCTTAGTGAAAGAGGTAATTCGTTACAAAGTTTGGGATCCGCAATGGAGAATGCTCTATCACCATAATGTGACTGTCCTTGATCTAGGAACAGTAAGAAGTTCTTGTGAACATGATCGTAATGTGTGGGTGTAACAATGTTGATTTAACAGAACCGATAAAACCATTGAGTGATTTATAAATCAACAATAGAATCTTAAGAATAATACAATGAGAAACAGGTAGCCAGTGGAGCCTTTTAAGGACTGGTGTTATATATATTATCTTACTTTCGGGTACATGTAACAACACAAGCAGCAGTATTATGGACTAATTGAAGCCTATCAATCAGACATTTGAGTAGGCCGTGTAGAAGAGTGTTGCAATAATCTAATTAGATGACACAAAAGCATGGACCAATGTTTCAGTAGAACCCTCATCCAGATATTTCCTTAACTTGCCAATGTTCTTCAGATGGAATTGGGAGGACTTGCACAATTGGCTGATTTGATCATCATAGGATAAAGCTTGATCCAACAGAACACCAAGATTACGCATGGTGGGTGTATGGTTGATGGTCTCCTCTCCCACTTAAACTGACGAAATAGCAGGTCTTGGTTGGTGTTTTGAACTTATGACAACAAGCGCAGTTTCATCATCATTTAAATTTGGCTTATTTTTAATCGTTCATGAGTTGATATGTTTAGCACAGCATTTGACCCTAGTTCTCCCCAAGTACGCATCCTCCAGGGAATCACACTTAAAGGTAACATAAAGCTGAGTATCACCAGCATAAAAGTGATACTCTGCTCTGTGGGCCTTGATGATATCAGCAACAGTTTTTGTGTACAGCATATAGAGAACTGGACCAAGAACTGATCCCTGTGGCATTCCAGAAGTCAAAGATCTTACACTTGACTTTTCACCCTCAACGTGAACGTAATATTTACATGACTCTAAGTAGGATGCAAACCAGGCTTGGGCCGTGCCTTTGGTACTGAAACGATCTGTAAGTCTGGATACCAGAGTAGCATGGTCAACAGTATCAAAAGCCACTGACATATCTAAAAGTAGAAGAAATACAGATGTCCTATTGTCAAGGGAACAGAGTATGTCATTCTGCACCCCAACAAGGGCAGTTTCAGTGGAATGGTTAAGCTTATAAGCTGACTGAAGCCATTCATCAAGTTGATGCGATGTAATGTGGTCCATCAGCTGCATATACCCACCACTTTCTCGACTACTTTCAACATCATTTTCAAGTTAGAAATCGATCAAAAGTTAGAAAATTGCTTGTAATCAGCATCAGGTTTTTTGAGAAATGGTCGTAATTCAGCAACCTTAAGTGCCTCAGGCATCTTTCTATGAAGGTCAACAAGACTATGCAACTTTCTTTGATATCTTTCTTTTTTTTATTTTTTTCATGATCTTTTCTTTATTTTGAAATAATGCTTTACGATAAATCTAACC